TTCCTCTATGGATCTCAACGCAGATGTTACTTCTGTTCTTTCGCTGTTTTGCTGATCCATCCATGAAGTAATCATGTCCTTCATTTCTGTTTTAAAATCCGCTAAATCGGTCAGAATTTCTTCGGAGCGCTTTCTCTTAATTCGTGAGCTAACAAAACTGGGAGGCGATGTTTCTTTGTCGTCGGAGACGCTAGGCAGGTTGGAATCAGAATTGCATTTTTCCGATGTTCGAAACATTTTCAGAGTTCTCGTACAGCCTCAAATTTATTTCCAGCTCAACAAAGTGTAGAACAAATTAACAGGTTATATTTTATAGTCGAGAGTTACGGCGTCACTTGTAGTAAGCGTGTTGGCAGTTGGTAGGTATGCTTCAACTAATGTCGTGATCTCGTAGCATGTATTTCGTAGCGAACGTAGTAGAAGTGTCTACGGCGTTTGACGTAGTTACAAAGATCATGCAGGGAGGAACGAGATGATAAAAATAAAAATACAAATACCATCCGTCTTTTTTTGTCACCGCTTGCTGCGTCAGTGAGCAAAGATGCGATGCAGGAACGAGAAGGCAATTATTAAGTCTATTATCTTACTCGCACGTTCCCCACCGCAGCCGGTCGCTGGTGTTGAATAGTCAAATGCACTTAATATATTTGATAATTTTTAACTATTATGAGCCTTATTGACACACACGCTCGCGCACGTCTGCTCTCGGCGAAATCACGAAGGAAGAGGAGACGACTCGACCTGGCAACGTACAACGCACGCACCCTGAGGACCGACGAGAAGATCGTGGAGCTGGAAGAAGAGATAGACAAGTTGCACTGGCATATTATAGGATTATCCGAAGTCCGAAGAGAGGGGGAGGACACGGTAATCCTCGAATCCGGCAACTTGCTCTATCACCGGGAGGGCGACCATCTGTCCCAAGGAGGTGTCGGATTTATCGTCCACAAGTCTCTCGTTAACAACGTTATAAAGATCGGGAGTGTGTCGACGAGGGTTGCGTACCTTATACTCAGAATCACCAAACGGTATTCGCTGAAGGTCATACAGGTTTACGCACCAACCTCGGCACACCCCGATGAGGAGGTGGAGGAAATGTATGAGGATATCTCTAGAGCCATGCATTCCTCCAAAACCCAATATACGGTGTTAATGGGAGACTTCAACGCAAAACTAGGCACAAGAGAGAACGGTGAGCTGAAAGTAGGGAAATTTGGAGTAGGGCAACGGAACCCAAGGGGCCAGCAGCTGGCCGACTTCATGGAGAAAGAGGGACTCTTTATGATGAACTCTTTCTTCCAGAAGCGGCCCCACAGGAAGTGGACCTGGTCGAGCCCCGACGGTTCTACAAAAAATGAGATTGACTTCATTATGACGACCAGACGACAACTGTTCAGTGATGTCTCCGTGATCGCGAGGGTGAAAACTGGTAGCGATCACCGAATGGTTAGAGGCACACTGAACCTAAACGTTAAGTTGGAGAGGTCTCATCTAATGAAGTCAACGCTCCGTCCCCCTCGTGCTCTAATCCAAAGTCCCGAAACCTTTCAGCTCGAGTTACAAAACCGTTTTCAGTGCCTAGAAGACTGCAATGAAGTGGACGATTTGAATGACAAGCTCGTGGAAACTGTCCATGCGGTCGGAGCTAAGTTCTGCAAGACCCGCCGCAGAAGAACACAAAAACTCTCCGATCACACTCTTAATCTCATGGCTGTTAGACGGGAGATGAAGCTACATTCTTCAACAGACTTGACAGCATACAGGTATCTGAACAGACAGATCTCCAAATGCATGCGGCGGGACTTACGCAACTTCAATACAGCTCGTATTGAAGAAGCGATCGAGCGGAACCAAGGCTCCAAAGTCTTTGCCAGAGATCTGTCTGCCAGAAAGAGCCAACTGTCAAAGCTGAAGACAGAATGTGGCAGCATCGTTTCCGGGACACCTGAGATTTTGAGTGAAATTGAGAGGTTCTATGGGCAGTTGTACACGTCATCGTTGGAGCCACACGCAAGTGTGAGTAACGATCCAAGAGCGAGTCTCATCCGACACTATTCCGAAGATATCCCGGACGTCAGTCTGAGCGAGATTAGAATGGCTCTCCAGCACCTTAAAAACGGTAAGGCCCCAGGCGAGGATGGAATTACAGCGGAGCTTCTGAAAGCGGGTGGAAGACCGGTACTTGAAGTCCTTCAGAAGCTCTTTAATTCCGTCCTCCATGGTGGCATTACACCGGAGGCGTGGAGCAGAAGTGCGGTGGTCTTGTTCTTCAAGAAAGGTGACAACGCTCTCTTGAAGAACTACAGACCGATTTCCCTTCTGAGCCGCGTCTACGTGCTGTTTTCGAGAGTCATTACGAATCGTCTCGCGCGCAGACTTGACGACTTCCAGCCTCCCGAACAAGCCGGTTTCCGAAAGGGCTTTAGCACCATAGACCACATACATACCCTCCGGCAAATTGTACAGAAGTCCGAAGAGTACAATTTGCCACTATGTCTGGCGTATGTGGACTATGAGAAAGCCTTTGATTCCGTCGAAATTTGGGCGGTGCTGCAGTCCCTTCAGCGGTGCCAAGTTGACTGTCGGTATATCGAAGTGTTGAAGTGCTTGTACAGTAGGGCTACGATGGCTATCCGAGTACAGAACCAGAGTACGAAACCCATCCAATTGCAGAGAGGTGTAAGACAGGGTGACGTCATATCCCCGAAACTCTTCACCGCTGCATTGGAAGACGTTTTCAAGCTTTTGGACTGGAAAGGATACGGTATCAACATCAATGGCGAGTACATCACTCACCTTCGATTTGCCGACGATATAGTCCTTATGGCAGAATCGCTGGAGGACCTAAGCACTATGCTCAATGACCTCAATAGTGTTTCCCAACGGATAGGTCTTAAGATGAACATGGACAAAACAAAGATCATGTTTAATGTCCATGTCACACCTATGCCGGTAGTTGTTGGGAACACTAAGCTCGAAGTTGTTGACGAGTATGTTTACCTGGGACAAATAGTCCGACTAGGTAAGTCCAACTTCGACCGAGAGGTCAATCGACGGATTCAACTCGGCTGGGCAGCGTTCGGGAAGCTAAGACACATCTTCTCGTCAGACATACCTCAAAACCTTAAAACGAAATTGTACAACCAGTGCGTGTTGCCAGTGATGACTTACGGAACTGAGACGTGGTCCTTCACTGCTGGCCGGATGAGAAAGCTCAATGTCGCTCAGCGAGCTATGCAGAGGGCTATGCTCGGAGTTTCTCTGCGTGATAAACTTAGGAATGAGGATATCCGCAGTAGAACCAGAGTAACCGACATAGCCCAACGGATTAGTAAGCTGAAGTGGCAGTGGGCCGGCCATATAGCTCGAAGAACCGACAACCGATGGGGAATAAAGGTTCTCGAGTGGCGGCCTCGTACCGGTAGGCGAAGTGTAGGGCGTCCCCCCACGAGATGGAGTGACGACCTGGTAAGACATGCAGGAAGTCGATGGATGCAGGTGGCTCAGGACCGTGCTTTGTGGCATTCTTTGGGGGAGGCCTATGTTCAGCAGTGGACTTGTGAAGGGCTGTAATGATGATGATGATGATGATTGGAAGAGAAGGCCAAATTGGCCTCTAAAAAGCTTGGCGTGCTCAACAGAGCGGGACAGTATTTCATGCCGGCTCAACGCCTCCAACTTAACAAGGCGCAGGTTCGGCCTCACATGGAATACTGTTCCCATCTCTGGGAACGGTAACGGCAGAGCGGCTCGAATCGTCGACGACCGAGTCCTTTCCGATCGGCTCGACTCATTGGCACTGCGAAGAGATGTTGCATCTCTTAGCATTTTCTTTCGCATTTACCATGGGGAGTGCTCTGAGGAATTGTTCGGATTAATCCCAGCCGCCAAATTTCACGAACGCACATCGCGGCAGAACTCCCGATACCATCCACACCATCTGGATGATGGGCGGTCCACCACTGTGCGATTTAGAAGATGTTTTCTTCCTCCCACAACTTCCTTGTGGAATAGTTTACCACCAGCGATTTTTCCGGACCGATACGACTTAGGGACTTTCAAGAAAAGAGCTTACTCCTTTTTAAAAGGCCGGCAACGCATCTGCAATTCCCTCCCTGGTGTTGCAGTTGTTCATGGGCGGCGGTAGTCACTTACCATCAGGTGAGCCGCATGCTCGTTTGCCCCCTCTCCTATAAAAAAAAAACCAAACGTTTCATTCGTTATTTAAAAATATAACGATAAAATTTTATAATTAAAGTGTGTAGTGTTGGTGATAGTAAACAATAATGAAATCTATAGTTACTAATATTATACTCTGACTTATGATGCGTTTGCTGCTACACTTTGATCCTTGTCCCATTTTAGCATATTATAGTTTTGAGTAGAGTATGTATGAGGTTATGAAGTATAGCTACTGGAGCTCTTTGATATCTGCATCGAACATAACTCGCTTTCTTACACAGCAGTGGGTGCACTCACGAAATAAAAATACAAGGGAGAGAATTATTGCAGTATTGGCAGTTAGGCTTAACATTTTAAGTAGACCTAAGAATTAATAACGTCATCCAGACCGAATTGCATTGACGGCGTCCGGTCTTAACAGACATAAGCCATTTGCGCAGGATACGTTCATAGTGTGTGTGTAAGCACAGGTGCACTCTCTGTTCTCTAACTCTCATATGCCGATGGGAGGGCAATCCCACGCGACCGGAGAGAGATCAGCCGCAAAACCATTTGCTTTACGTGCATTCCGAGGCACGGGCTAAAACATCGCCAACTTCCTCGCTCCGGGCTGCTACTAAGATATTCTTGACAGAAAAAACCAATAACTGATTTTTAGCCCGACCCGGGACTCGAACCTAGGACAGGGACCGGGAACAAGATCAGCAGTTGCGCTTATTACCACTTGACCAACGAGGTAGTCATCAAAGAAAACTACTTTAAAGAAACCGTTAAAATTTCAATGGAGAATGTTACTTTAGTGATATTGTTTTTTTTAGGTGTTTATGGTTATGCTGGGAATTTTAGTAATGGTGGCTATAGTGAACCCGTACATGTTGCTTACGACCGCTGTCTGCGGCTTGTTTATGTACATGTGGACTCTGGTCTACCTCAGCACAGCGCAAGCCATTAAGAGGTAAGTCTTTTGTATCTTATTTTAATTTACATATCGTTCTAGTAAACAATATAATGGAAAACCCGAAAATAGCACACCTCCAACACTCATAGCAAAGGGGACAAACTAGTTAAATAGGTAAACATTAGAGTTGTAATAAAAAAAGTTTGGGTCCAAATGTTTATCATTCAGTAATACTATTTTAGCTTTATAATTGCAGAAATACATATCAAAGTTCACTGACGTTGAAATCTCTTGAACGATAAGGATTTTACTAACGAATATTGATAAATGCGTCAGACAACTTAATCATGGTAGCACACAAACCAATAGACATTAATATCAATATAATTTAGATAATATAAATTAATTGGCAATATTGATAATTCTAGTTTTTAAAACATTTCTGCGACTGGACTTATCTGGTTTATGAATGATAGATATGATTCAACATGATTGCATGGGCGATAAAATGCTTGGTTAAGGTAATGTTGGCTTATCAACAGGAAAGCACACGTGCGATTGATAACCGTTTCTTTTTGATATACTTTTTATAAAAATTTATCAAAAAGATTTTTTAAATATTTTATATATTTATCGACGTGATTAAGACACGGTGATTTTTGTTTAATGTGCAAATTCTTGACGAATTTACTGAACCAGGAGGCAAACGAGCGGCTCACCTGATGGTAAGTGACTAAGTTCGGCCATGAACAACTGCAACACTTTCGTTGACGGCATTTAAAAAAAAGTAGACCCTTTTTTGAAGGTCCCTAAGTCGTGTCGGTCCGGAAATGTGTGGATGGATGGGTCTGAGAGGTCGCCTTTTTAGGGATTGGGTGCACTAAAGCTGCCTTTCTAATACCGGAAAAGACGTGTTATGCTAACTCCGAAGCACCCGCATGAGCGCTGTGTAAACTGCACGTCCTTATGATCTCCTTATGATGTATGATCCTTTTTTTTAATAAGACGAGAGTAGTAGCATGGACTCGAAACATTGTATTTAAATTTAATTTTGTTTGTTAAACATGATCTCCACCATAAACTGCTGCTACAGACAGGATAGTCTCCTTACGAGGGAACTCCTTGTGAATGTTGGCAATGAAATACTTAAACGTATTAAAGTTTGTAATTTTGATATGGCATATAACATATGGTGTTTCCCGTTAGATTACTTGAAAAAACTTTATTTTAGATACAGAATTTACCACACCATTAAAAGAAACAATAAATGATTAAAAAACCAAAATTATAAAAAGAAAATTATTAGAGTAATTTGTAAAGTATTCTATCATTCTGAATAATAAACCTATTTAACAAATTAATGTTTTGTTTAATTTGTCTTCACCTATTGTGACAACCCTACCAAAATAGGTAACAATTTTGCACGTTCTTAAGAAGCTTTGTCTCTGTTCTGTTTATCTACTCATGTGACAGGAGCCGCTAAGCGGCTCGCTTTGAAAAATTGCTGTGACGGCCGTGTCAGTGAGCGTAGGTATGTCGTCACTTGTCGGTTAGTTCAGATATAAATAACATTTTAAGAAAATGTTAAATTTAGTAAGTTACCTGATTAGAACGCTAAAATCCCATTTACCTATAGCAACAAAAAAAAATGCATTATCATAATTGCCATGCCAATTAGTACACCTATACGTCCCTGAAACGACCAACGGGTTGCTTATCATATACTGTATATACTATGAATACTTTATACGGGCTTCATGTAAAAAAAGACATATATTTGATAATATTTTAATGCAACTGTTTTTAACAGAGTGGAAGGCGTGTCTCGAAGTCCCGTATTCTCACACGTATCGGCCAGTATGGCGGGTCTGACCACAATCCGCGCGAGTAAGGCTGAAGAGATGCTCCGCATACAGTTTGACGAAAAACAAGACGTGCACACGGCTGCATGGTATGGCACACCCTCGAGACCTTATTTCTATTTAATATTCCACAATTACTATGCGCGCATGATAATAAGATATTCTGCAAAGATTATCATATAGGTAGGAATTGGATTTACATTTAAATGTCAATTTTCAAGGCAAGCTGCCATTGTAAGATTATAACAAAAAAATCATCATCATCATCATCATAGCCCATCAAAAGTTCACTGCGAAAATATCGGATTGACAGTTTATGAAAATTATGAATTGCAATACCAAATAATTGATTTTACCACATGCCTGAGTTGAAGCAAAATATTGTGAGAAAATTTGTGTGTGAGAAATAAATATATTTTGAGGACAAGGGAAATCCGCAGTCCATCACACATTTCCGTAAACAATGTAACATCTTGATTCGGATTGATATTTTTTCTAAGGATGTCGTCCTTTGAATTTGACCCATACTATTGACCCATACCATACCTATCAAAACCATGTAATACACAAATGTTTTTTAACTTCTCTAAGATACCTGCTCTAAAATATGTATAACTAAAAAACCTTTATTTCAGGTACTTGACACTAACATCAAACACCGCTTTCTCAATATGGTTAAGTCTTATATCGGCCGTCTATGTTATTGTTGTGGCCTATACGTTCCTTTTATTGGATGATGGTAAGATTTTATATATTATTAGACCCTTTATCAACATATACAGTACACAGAATATCATATATAGTACGTTTACTATTTTATGAAACTGATCGCGGAACTTTGAATTATTAAGTTATTATCAAAATAGAGTAGTGTAACGCAACCTTATCTTTAGGATAGATGACTGCTTATCTGCAATACCATTTTTTATCTTGTTCATCATAAAATATTGTGAAATCTTATGCATATTAGATATCTTATTGGATACTGAAGTAGCAGGATTGGGCTAGCAGCAAATAAATAAACAATAAAAGTCCAGAGTTGAATATGGACTCCTTCCGTTGTAGGGTAAATTTGCCTTAATAGCTATGCTCGGCAAGTGGATTAACGATCGCTGAACGAGAAGTTTCGAATCTTTAACCCTGCTGGCTTGTCGCCAGCCGATGTCTATGGTATACCGACATCCAGCTAATACCTATATGCTAAATCATTGCGATTTACTACATATTGCTATATCACTATTTACCACCAGGTAGGATTGTAGTAAAACACATGAGTGCTTGTCTTTATGATCCTATACTATAGCAATTGTAATCGTGTTCTTTAAACGTTGTACAGCTCTACGAATTAAATAACGATATGGATGAAATTTACTGATGGTTTACCGGGGTGAAAAATCTTTATAGCTATCGTTTCTGAGAATATTCGTTTTCTTCGTGTTTCCTCGCACAAAGCAACAAGCTTAACTTGCCTGCACAATATGATTGGCAATTTCGCCACAGTCATCTTTTCAACAGCCTAAAGACAGAAAAGATTTGTTTTTTTGTTTGTCACGGATAAACTCTAAAATTACTAAACCGACTTTAAAAATTCTTTCACATATAGAAAGCTACATTATCAGTAAGTTACATAGGCTATATTTTATCTTAACTTCTAAACTATATAAAGAGAAAAGATTTGTTTTTTTTTGGTTTGTAATAGATATACTCTAAACCTATTTAACTGATTTAAAAATTCTTTCACCTATAGAAAGCTACATTATCATTGAGTATCATAGACTATATTTTATTTAAAAAATAGGAGCCGTTATACGAGGGCGATACTGAAAGGTTTTAGAACTGGCCTCTTGTAAACAATATAATAAAAAAATAAGTTCAAATTTTGAAAATGGAACTCTTTACCAATATTATTGTGTATGTATTATATTAATTTGTTATTTGTTTACGATTTGGCGGCAAATTGAAAAAAATATCTGTGTCACGTCAGCGTGAACTTAACGCGAGAAAAATGTCGTACAATGATTTTCGATGTCATTTAAATCAACAAGAAAGTTATGATAGACTTCGATTGGCCTTTAACGATGAAGCCCCATCTTGTGCCACTGTTTACAACTGGTTTAATGAGTTTAAACGTGGTCGCACTAATTTCACCGATGATCTACGTGAGGGACGGCCTTCTACGGCGACGACTGAAGATACTATCAGTGTTGCGCGGCGTATGATAGAGACTGACAAAAGAGTTACTTATCAGCAAATTCGGACATGCTTAGGCATCGGTATGAGTCAAGTGCACAAAATCCTCCATGAACATTTAGCGGTCAGGAAGTTTTGTGCCCGGTGGATACCTCATAATTTGACAGAGGCCCAAAAACTCCGTCGTGTTGATTGGTGTCGTGAAATTGTTCAAAGATTTAACGGAGGTGACTCAAATGCTGTGTTTGACATACTTACGGGTGACGAAAGCTGAATTTATTGTTATGATCCTGAAACTAAGAGACAGTCTGCTGTCTGGGTGTTTCTTTCCGAGGAGTTGGCAATTAAAGTGAAGAGAGGTCGAAGCGTGGGAAAAAAAATGGTGGCTTCGTTCTTCGGAAGGACAGGTCATTACGCAACAATTGTTTTAGAGGATCGAAAAACACTTACTGCAGAGGGGTACACTAACAATTGTTTGCACTTTTCTTTGAAAAGGTTCGGGAGAAACGACCTCGCAGTAGGAACCTCCTTCACCACGACAACGCCTCGTCGCACACCGCCAAGCAAACAATCGACTACTTGGCGACGTCAGACGTGGAACTAGGTCACCTGCCTTGCGATTTTTATTTATTTCCGAAAATAAAAGAAAAACTTGGAGGAAAACGTTTTATGGACGCCGAGGAAGCAGTGGCTGCGTTTCAATATGCCGTCGAAGAGACCCCTATGGACGAGTGGGCAAAGTGCTTTTCTCAGTGCTTCCATCGGATGCAGCGATGTATGGATGTAAATGGACACTATTTTGAAAAGATATAATAAAACGAATAACTTGCTAGTTTAATCAGTTATTGATTTTCTTTTAATTTTCTGTGTCACCCTCTTAAAAACTTTTTGAATCTATAGTTCACCAACAATAGTCTGCCTTAATTTGTAGAAATAAGTTGTTATCTCAGTTCCAATTTGGCTTTTGGCCTGGACACAGTACAACCGCTGCACCTCTCAAAGTCACGGAGGACATTTGGGAGGACATGGAGAACAGAAAGGTCACAGTAATTGTACTAATTGATTTTACAAATGCGTTAAACATGGTTGACCATGATATCCTCTTTGCCATGCTTCAAAATCTCAAATTTTCTTCTACTGCTGTAGACTGGGTTTCTTCCTACTTTTGTGGCCGTCAGCAAGCTATCATTAATGGTCGTGACATATCTGACTAGTGGCAACTCTTCACTGGCGTGTCACAAGGTGGAATATTATCTCCACTTCTGTTCTCAATTTATATTAACTTTTCCTCTTCTCAACTTAGCTGCTCTTAACATCTTTACGCTGATGATCTGCAAATATATACTTAAGCAGACGTCAACTCTTTAAGTGACGCTATTGCCAGACTCAATATGGAACTAACGAATCTCCACAATTCGTCTCATAAGTTTGGTATTAGTGTGATCTTTATTAAATGCCAAGCAGTAATAATTGGTGGTGTTCAGCAATTGTGTATGCTTGACGTCAGTTGCGGTCCGCCTGTCACGTTTGATAGTTCTATCATACCGTGTTCTGACAGCGCTAAAAATACACAGCCTTATGTTGATCCACTTGAATTCAAAATATCAGTGGTTCTGTTTTTGCTAAGCTCAGTGCTTTTAATCGTCTCAGGAACTTTCTTCCAGTCAAGCTAAAGATGACTCTGGTGCAAACTCTTAGTTTTCCCATTATTGATAGTGCTGATATATGAGAATGAGGTTTTCCTTGATAAGCTGGATCGTCTAGTCAGTATCTGTATCAGTTTTAATCGACTTCAAAGGTTCTCACTTCGAGTATATGTTTTTTATATATTATGTCTTTGCAGATTGTGGAACAATTTTGATGATTCTTTTTTTATTGAATAGGTTATACTTCAGGGTTGGTGCCATATAAATTTGGAAAAAACATTTACCCCTATGGGTAGCAAATAAATAACTTCATTTTTAGCAATTTGAAGATGGTTTTTACATTATATTACATTTGTTTGTTTGTTGTCCTCGCAAGTTTAGCAAAATACCTACAAACAAACATTTGCGAATGTTCGGGCTCATTTCCTAAAATTGCTTCATAACTGCTAAGCTCCGACATCATTATAATAGTAATCTCTTTTTATTTAATCAGTATAATATTATGTATATTATATTATATTTTCTTATAATATATATATATATATATATATATATATATATATATATATATATATATATATATTTGTGTATTCTATTTTTACGTGGTAGAGCCGTGCTGCAGCTATATTAGTTGTAGCACGAATGGGTCGGCTAACCGGGGAAGGACCACGCTCTCACAGAATACCAGCGTAAAAGTGAGTGTAGAGAACCGGAGACCCTTTTTACTGGAAATGAGGCATTCCAGCTTTGTCCTCACGGGTGACATCGCATCTTCATGTTGTTTCCCAAACGAGGATAGATGTAGATGTCTATGGGCCACAGCAACCACTTACCATCAGGTGGACTGTGTGATCGTTTGTCACCCTATTCTACACTCAGCGGCACGGAATCTTGGCCAAGCGGTTATCTCGCGATAGCAAAAGCTTTAACTGTTTCTGATGAATGTTTGTTATGCAGGTATGTCAAAAAATGTTTGCTCTCAAGTTCAAGAGGGTAATTCATTATGTTTAAGTGCACCATGACGAATTCTTTAATTTTTAGTTGAATCGGGTCATTTGAGCGACTAAGTTCACATTTTAAATTTGTGTGTTGTGAAAAGTTTACTGTAAGGTTATTCAATTATTGTGATCTTGTGTCTTAATTCAATAACTAAAGGTGCTTTAAAGCCAATAAAAATGCCATTAACACCAGCACAAGTTGCACAAGCAGTAGCATTAATTGACCAAGGGCTGACACAGCGTGAAGTTGCTATTGTGCTTAACGTACCACGGTCCTCAATGCAGTATTCACTGAAACGATACCAGGAGACAGGACGCTACACCCGCAGGCCAGGCAGTGGGGGCGTAAGGTGCACATCGGCCCGGGACGATCGTTTTATTGTTATGGAGATTTTGAGAAACCGCTACCTGACCGCTGTTGAGATACGCCAGCGGCTCCAAATCGCAAGAGGCGTTAATGTTAGTGAGTGTACGGTGAGAAGACGAATGGAGGAAGTGAATTTAAAAGCTCGTAGACCAGCACGAGGTCCAGAACTTCTCAGACAGCACCGAGTAGCCCGACTTCAGTTCGCAAGAGAACATGTCAATTGGACCCACGAGCAATGGGCTAGAGTGTTGTTCACAGATGAGTGTCGAATAGCTTTACGTGCTCCAGACGGTCGAGAACGAGTGTGGAGAAAAAGAGGAGAGAGGTTTCTACCCATTACCACCACCCAAACTGTGAGTTTCCATGGAGGCTCAATAATGGTATGGGGAGGTGTAAGTTCCGACGCACGTACAGAGTTGGTCATCGTCGATAATCGGCTTACAGCTACTCGATACATCGAGGAAGTTCTTCAGGAGCACGTAATTCCTTATTCGGGATTCATTGGACACGACCAATTCCTCCTCATGCACGATAATGC